CTGAATGGTGGAATTTGCTTGTTTATAGATATGAATAGGTCTGTAGAATATCTGCTTCCTATTTTCTCGTTCTTCTCCTTACACCCAAATGATGTGTGTGTCTTCCTTATATTTTTATTTGCTAATATTTACAGCAATTTCTATTTCTATTGTGCCAACACTTTTAAACTAAATAACAACTGATAACATTTTATCAAGATTTTATAGTGCATAACCTAAGAGAATACAATATACACTCTGTCCAGAGTGTGTTGCTGTTAAGAAATTGACTATAGCAGAAAGAAAATTTTTGGTCTTATTTTCTTGACATTTTAGCTTCCTTGATTTTCCTGTCTCTTTACCAGATGGGTGATGTTTGTGAGCACAGTAGGAAGCAGGGAGAATAACACGGGGGGGGGGGAGCCTTCTAAAGTAAGCTTTCCTTATGCATTTGCTTTGCTATGCTTCATTCATGAAATTTATGTGGATTCAGACATAATCATGTTCATCTTGTTTAATCTTTCATTTTCCCCCCTCCACTGCTGCTTGCTTTGTGTTTGTTTCCAAAAAACAAAAATAAAAAAGGAAAAAAATCCACAATAGTAATGTTAAGACAAGTTGAGTTGCGTGTATGTGTGCTCCCACCAGCCACTTGCATTGCCCAATTCCGAATAGGCCACAGCCTTGTGGTGGGCTCCGGCCCAGGGGTTGGGGACCTCTGTTCTAGGGCACAAATGTACCAAAACGTGGCCTTGCATATTTTTCCGTGTAAATCTATCCTAGAAATTTTAATATTAAACCAAGTACCATTCTTTAGAAGGCTGTAAAGATGATTCTAAAGAAGGCTCTTTGGAAGTGAATACCTATAACAAGTCTTTATATACTCTGAAAGAACCCATAATATAACTTTTGGCATTCTAGATATTGCTCAACTCTAGGAAGTAGTAAGGAACACTTGGAGATGTAGTTCAGAAATACATGTTATGCCTCGGGTTACATTTTCCTAGTGCAGTCAGGAATTTTTACATGTTTTTTTCTTATCACTTTGTCCATGCTCAAATCTAGCAGTTGGGTAGTGTATAAAGTAAATAATAAATAAATATATAAATCTTGAATTACACTTGCCTTGGAGCAATGTTTTGTTCTCTCTTAGGGCCCTTTCCAACTTTTACAAATTTTGGAGGAACCCCCCCCCCCCAAAAAAAATCTCTTGTTTGTATGGGTTATATTTTTGCCATATTTACCATATTAAATATCTCATGATCTTTTGGTGGGATTTTAATATGGTATTATTTTTTTAACATAGGGTAGCAAATAATTGATTTTGATTTTATTTTGCTTAGAGAGTGTTGGGGGACCTCCCCTAGGGCTCCTAGTACCACACTTTAAAAAACACTACCCTAGAGAAATAAGAGAACGATATCTTATTCTGTGGAAACAGCTTTTAAAAAGTAGTTATGTTGATATATCGCTGACATATATTTTTGTGAAATAGAGTCCACTGAAGAGAAGGACGAGGGGGGACATGATAGCAGTGTTCCAATATCTCAGGGGTTGCCATAAAGAAGAGGGAGTCAAGCTATTCTCCAAAGCGCCTGAAGGCAGGACAAGAAGCAACGGGTGGAAACTAATCAAGGAGAGAAGCAATCTAGAACTAAGGAGAAACTTCCTGACAGTGAGAACAATTAACCAGTGGAACAA